CAACAAGCATTTGTCCTATTCTTCATGGGGAGAACCATTTATGCTTTCAATACTACATTAATCAACCAACAATAACAAGAATTTCTGTAACAATTGCAAGCATATATCAATATAGGCTCTAGAACTGATCACTTAAGAGCTTCTAATTCGCGACGGTGTTTTCTCGTGACTTTAGCTCGGACTTCTTCTTCGATTCACGCTCCTCCTTCTGTTTGAAATTGCGTGTCTCCCTTCGCAGTTCTATTTCAAACAGTTCTTCCTGGTAGACCTCCCTGTAAGAGAATACGTTTTTTTCGTAGAATGGTGCTGCTGTCTCGAAGAAAGAGGTCACCTAAAGATTGGTATCAGTTTCGGTACCAAGCCGAGCTGGTCGAAGCGAACACTCAAATTGTCCATGGCCACACCAACGTTTCCTGCCTTCTCTAGATATGCCGGGAGCTCAGGTACCTTAAAACGAAGTTTGTTCAGCAAAGTAGGCAAGAAAGCCATCAGTACAGTGAGATATTTGAAAAAACGGAGCACTGCTCTAGAAGCAGTCTAGCTGTAAGTTTCACGCTAAATCCCGAGAAAAAACAAAGATGGGCAAATAAAAAAAGCGCATTAGGTAAATAAATAAAGAAAACGAGCTCAGTGTAACAATCAAATTTAGACAGAATAATCGCGATAATGATTGAGCAATGCCGTTTGGTGCTCAGCTTTTGTTTGCGGGATCCAAAAATGTATGGACACAACCTCGCAAAATGAGTATGAAGAACCAAAGAAATCAAATGAAGTGGTTCTTTCCCCGAGGTTAGAGTGATACGGATAGTAGCGCACATTGTGAGCTGGGCTAAATATGTAATCAAAAATATATGTCATTTGCTTGGTAGACCCATTACAACATTCATTATCCAATACGGTCCCCTACCCCTCACAGAGTCGAATCATTTCCGCTGAATCAGGCTGTAACGATGTGGTGACGACAGCTTATAGCGGGCCACAAAATAGGACAAAACAGAAAAAGGTCCATACTGCTCCAAGGCAACGTAGAACCAACACTTCAAAAACAACGTCAGAAAAGAAAATGACGCGACTAAAACTGAAGCCCTAAGCGCTGACTCTGACAAAGTCTAGCTTGATTGATATTTTTGCGCCAACCTAGCGTAGTATGGGAGTGTTCATCGAATACTGGATGAAACATGAGTATCAGAGTAATTGGGATGAATTCACCATTCGTCAGATAAGAAGAAGAAAATGATAAAGTTTGGCCAAGAATATTCAAAACGTTTGAGGGCTAATGAAAATTTGAAATGAATCTGTGAATCTGAGAATGACTCACTAAAAAGTCTATATAAATGTGGTCAACGTACATGTCAAGAAAATTCATACCTTTGGATATCTGGCGCTAAAATGAGTCAAAATAACATTTCGTGCCTTCATCTTCCGACCAATTTCAACAGCCTGGCCCATCGTTGAATGCTTTTTCTTCAGAGCGTCCGCCTGATAAAGAGATACATTTTCGAAGAAAAAAAAAGATAAGATTCTGCAGATGTACCTCATGTCCATCTTCGAATGTAGCCTCATGGATGAGAAGGTCAGCGTTTTGCCCTTCCTCTACCAACAAATCACAGGGTTTCGTATCCCCGGAAAACACCACTCGCTTTCCATTGACACCGAAAATGAATCCGTTCGCCATTCTTGTGTGGTGCACCTGAAAATATTCCAAAACGATCTTCGCTTGATAACACTAGTATTGATCTTGAACCCCTGATAGCGCTTTGGAAAAAAAGGGATGAACGGCTTAGCATCTATCACTCACCTGAACAGCCTTTATTTCCTGAATATTCCACATATTCTCATCGAAAAGCGGCCGGGGCATTTGGTCTATGACACTACGGCACGCTGACAGTACCGGAGACGGCAATCGCCGCCTTTTCAGTGGAGGGCCAGGGCTGAAAGGATGAACATTTTGCAGAACTTTCCGGAATAGCCTCACTGCACAAGGAAGGATACCAACTCGTCCTGGCCATTCAGAATGAGATGTATACTCCCAGAAGCGTCTTCGTACGCTGATATCAAATCTGGCTTCCAAATCTGCTAAACGTTCTTGGTGAGAATGTTACAGACCTTTTTCTGCACTGTATTAACCATTGCGGATGCGCCCCGCCTTATGCTTCGCGCTTTAAACCCTTTCTTGACCCAACTCGCATCGTTGCTCGTGCGCACTAGGAAGTGAGGACTCATAGTCGTGCGATGGAGGTTCGAGTCCTTGATGCATTTCGTAGTTTTGCTTTTTCTTGAAACGTGCGCTCAACACTTGGGAAGTAGTTTTGCATACCTGTCCGACCACCAAGACCCCTCCCTGCTGCTTATTAGATCCTTATCGTCTGAATTTGGAGGGATTTTATTTGGACTTCAGTGAAAAGCATTCATTCTCATAGCGTTCGGCCTATGTACTTATTTAACGCATATATTTGATGCGACTTTTTCGCACTCGAACGGTAGAAGGCAATGGCTTCATTCACTTAAACCACACGCATACTTGATATGGACTTGTATAAAGTGAAGTCCATAAGTGGGCAATGGGTACAAGCGAACTACCTTCTCTATCGGGACCTTTACATCCCCAAAGTGACGTAGCTGTGTTCTAGCTCCTAGGGAACTTTCTTCATCGCCATCACACGTGATCAGAGAGGATCCGTATTGTCGTCCTCTACGAGCTATCTTCCTCGCAGTCAATTGCAAGGTTGTCGTACAGTGTGTCGACAACCTTGTAATTGACATTGACACTCATTCGTACCCCAGAAAACTCAAAAAAACCTTTTTCGCTGAAATCGTTGCCTATAGGTGTAATTCGATGCCCAGATCACGAATATCACATTCGTTTCGAGCGCTGGAGTCATTTGGCGCCATTCTGCGCCAAGTTGGCGCCCACCATTTTTTCACCCAATAGTCAGATTGAAAAACTTGCATATGAGGGTTAAATTGAGGGCCCTAATTACGGAACCGCATTCGCGCTAGCGCTGTGCATTCGGGCGCCCATATGACCGCCAATTTGCGCCCACATAATTGAGCGCATCATGCGCCGCAAATCGCGCCAACGCTTGAACCTGTGATATTCTTAATCAGGACCTCAATTAACCCCCATATGCAAGTTTTCATCAACTTTGGCAGGAAAAAAGTGGTGGGCGCCAAATTGGTGCATAATGGCGCCAAATGACGCCAGCGCTCGAAACGAGGGTTAAAACCGTGATCAGGACTAAATTGCCATCTTAAGACAACGTTCAGCGAGAAATTTTTTGAGCTTCCTGGGGTGAGGGTGCGTTCAACAGTGCCTAATTAATTACTTTAATTTATGGTAGCGCTGGTCGCCAGAACGTGTTGCGGTGATATTGTGTGCGATATTTGTGAGTATTAGAAGCTAACCGAACATGTTGAAACTTTCGTTGCCCACACACGTCATTTTATAGGATGGTGAAATTTCGCAGATCACGTACTTCAGGCAGATATGCATGTGTATTTGGTCCTGAGCTATTGAACAGTTAGGTAGAAGCGTCATTTTCACGAAATCGTCCGCGGGCTTCAATAAAGGAGCAGGAGTTGTCTCGGTGCGTACAGGTAGCACAAACTACTTCCCACAGCTGGTGAGCGCACGTTCTCAGAAAAAGCAAAACTACGAAATGCAATAAAAAAGAACTCGAACCTTGCCACGCAGACCGAGATGAGTGTCATCCAACTACCTACTTGCGCCACGAGCAACGCGATGCGTGTGTCACGAAGGGTTACGAATGCGCGAAGCATCAAGCAGGGGGAGGCGCACCGCAATGGTTAAGCACAGTAGCAAAAAAGGTCCGTAACTCCTCACCCAGAATCGTTTAGCAGATTTGGAAGCCAGATTTGATATCAGCGTCCGAAGACGCTTCTAGGAGTATACATCTCATTCTGAATGGCCAGGACGAGTTAGTATCCTTCCCTGCTTAGTTTTATAAGCGAGCTGGCCATATCTCAATTGAGAAATGGGACAAGCTGGTCAAGCAAAACAGAAGAAAAGAAGGCAAAAAAAGGCAGCATCATCAAAGACTAGTGAACGGAAAGGTTACCTTGCGGGAGGTGTAATCGGATGTCTTGATATATCAACTATCTCCACTAACGACTCGAGATCAAAGAAGCACATCGAGTAAGTTTTCAACGGCTTTAATACATTTCGATTACAGACTAGAACCAGAGGTGTGTACTGTCTTCCTGGAATGGATTCAACGCTAAAAAATGACAAACAAGATGATAGAGCAATGTACGATTACAAAGTATCGCAAAAAAACAAGCAGAAAAACTAACCAGAGCCTTCAATCGCTTCCTTACGCCGTTCAATGATTGTATACAGGCCATTCATGTGATCTTGATGAGCGTGTGTTACAAAGACGGCATTCAATTTGCACAGCAGCTGAAACCCCAATGAAAATCGAGGAACAGTGAA